ACCCAAAAAAAAAAAAAAAAAAAAAAAAAAAGTCCAAACATTAAAATCAAAATCACATAATGAGTACTGTTAAAAACAGAAGATTTGTAAATAACAGATCTATGCTTTCTCATCTTCATTTAAACTTCATTTTCCTAGACATCAAGGTTTTAAAACTTTCTGACATAATGTTCATTTCAAATTACTATTTACACAAACTAACCTTTCCAGTTATTCTCTCATCTCATAATATTTATTTCCCTTGCAGCATTTACAACCTAAAATTACCTTGTCAAGACTTTAGCCTGTGTTGCTCTTTTTTTTCCTGGTATCAGGGATCGAACTCAGGACCTTGCACTTTCGAGGCAGGCACAGTGCCACTGAGCTAAATCCCCAGCCTCTCAGCCTGTCAACCTGTGTTCTACTACATCATACTGTGTCACTCTTCACTGAAAGAAAATCTCATGTCAATTACAGGCCTCATTCGTTTAAAAAGTTGAGGTGACAGAGAAAAGTAACAACAGATTTAACTAGATATAACTAACTAGGTCTCAATCAGAAGCATTTTCAAGATGGGAAGGCCTTGGCTCCATGAGAAAGAAAGGAGTTAAATGGTAATGGTGATGGTGGTGGAGTTCATTCTTTCAGTCCAGGAGACCTGGGATTTAGTGTACAGGAGAGATTCTTTCGTGAAGTCAAACCACACCAAATGGGAGGAAAAGATGAAAATATGGAAGCATGATAAAGTTAAAAAAAGGGAAAACAAAGGTGCTCCTAATAGTGTTAATCCTTTCAACAAATTCGATGCAAAGAAATTCAGCAAGATTAAAGTAGATAAATGGAACTTGAGGTCTGAGGAGAGGAAATCTCTGGTCAGGTATGTACTGGATAATTAACAAAACATAAATGTGACAGCTGAGCTAGTGTTATAACCAGTAGAGGCTGGATAGCACAAATTTATTTACAGGCCAAGGTACATATAGCTACAATCCCACTTATATTTGTGCAATTTTTTACGATTACAAATGCTTTCCTGATTTTTTTTTTTCATGGGGATTCTCTTTTGGTAATATTTCTGTTATGGAAGTGGCAAAAGAGGAAGTCTTGGTATGCATAATGGAAGGCTGGAAAGAAACTAAACCCTCACCTAGAAAAACATTAGAATGAGTATCACATCCCAATCTCTACATAATTAAAGTTGCAGAGTAATTATTACCCTAAACCATTTGATATAGGTTGAAGCAGCAACATATTGTCATAAGCACTGGCCAATTAAATTGGAAGATGCCAATAACTACATAATTAGTTGGGCATAGGGAACAAGAATAAATCAACTTGGGCCAGGGATTTAGCTCAGTGGCACTGTGCCTGTCTTGCAAGTACATGGTCCTGAGTTTGATCCCTGGTACTGAAAAAAAAAAAAAAAAATCAACTTCACTTGCTATAGATGATACAGAAATTTATCCATTATTCAGGATAATTACACTGGTTCTCCCTCTTACCTTTTTTAAGATGTTAGGAATTGTTACAAGTTTATAATAGAATCAGGTTTGCAAAAGCAAGAACAAACATGCTATCAAATATATTCTCAAACATGCTACACAAATATATTCTCTTGACAGGATTCTCTTCATTCATCTACAGGATCATTTAACCTTGGAGCTGCAAAATTATGTGGTAAAATTTGTTTTCCATACTGCTCCTTTCAAGCTTTTATCCAAGATTTAGCTTTTTCAACATTCTTTTTGTTATTTATTTACTGAGATTATGGGGATGGAATTTAGAGGCTTGCACAAGCCAGGCAAGTACTCTACCACAGAGCTACACTTCCAGCTCAGCGTTATTTTTTAAACAGCATCAGATGATATCCCAGACTAAACACAGTATTTCACATTTGATCTCACCAACACAAATAAGTGAGATTCTCATATTCATCTCCCTTGTGTGCGGAATATAAAACATTTATTAAGTTAGCCACTGTCACTCCATGAACTCTTACAAAATTATGTTTAATTCAAGCCCCCAAATTATTCTTCTTGAATTGCTTCTATAAAGTATTTTTCTTCCCATGCTACATTTTTTATGCTTTTCTTCTTTGTACCTGAATTAGGATTTTGCATTTTGTAGACATGACCTAGAATTTCAGTTTATTAAAATTTTATAGTTTTCACTAAAAATAGGCTTTTAAAGATCAGCATGTCAATGATGTCATCATTTAAGTTATTTCCGAATATGCTCATCATATTTAAGGAATTTATGAAAAATCTCTTCTTTCTAGCTTACTAGCTTCAGATATTATCAAATCATCCAGTTACAAACCCAGTTAAATCCAGCCAAATGTTATACTTCTCTATCTTATTCTCAAGATTATAATGAGAGATATATTTAAATACCATGCTATACTACCTGGCTGATTACCAATCTATATTTTTTTTTTTTGGTACCAGAGATCAAACTCGGGTCCTTGCGCTTGCGAGGCAGGCGGAGGAACCACTGAGCTAAATTCCTGGCCCCAATCTATACTATTTGTAAAAGTTCCTAATAAAGTAATGACAACCTTTTAAAATTTTCAATGATACAAACAATCTGCTGTCATACACATACCATAGGTTTGTCATTATTGACTAATGGCTCATGAAAGTTTGCTATTTTTTTTGTATTTTGATTTTTATTGGTTTTTTGAGACAAGGTCTCACTATGTAGTTCAGGCTAGCCTTGAATTCACTATGTAGCCCAGGCTGGCTTTGAACTTGCAGGGATCCTTCTGCCTCAACCTCTTGAGTGCTGGGATTACAGGTGTGCACCACCACATCTTCCTATTTTCATATCTATCTATCTATCTATCTATCTATCTATCTATCTATCTACACTCACACTGGGGATTGAACTCGGGTCCTTGTGCTTGCAAGGCAGGCCACTGAATCGCTGAGCTAAATCCCCGGCCCTATTTTCTTATATTTTTATCTGCTTCTAAAAACCAGGGACCTGCCAGGTATGGGGGTGCATGGCTGAAACCCCAGCACTCGGGAGGCTGAGGCAGGAGGATTGCCACAAGTTCAAGGCCAGCCCGGGCTACATAGTGAGTTTAAGACCAGACTGAACTATAGAGTGAGACCCTGTCTCAAACAAACAAACAAACAAACAAACAACCTGAGACATGACCTTCTTAAACGTCTGCATTTGAGCCACCTTTCATCTAATTTTTATACAATTCCACAAAGGTTCATCAGACTTCAAGGTGGAAGCTGAATCGCTCCTCAGATATCCTACTTATCCACAGAGTATTCAGTAGCTGTCAGGACTGGTAGGTGTGACTGGTGAGACAGCATCCAGTTACAGGCACTTTGATGCCTTCTATTCCTTTCATGGACAGTGGACAAGAGTGAAGAGGATGACATTTTGCTACTTCTCTCAATCATTAATCACTGATCAGTTAAAAAACAAAATTGTCAATAGGTAGTTTCTACATTTTTCAACTGTGCTTTACAGTGACTTCCATTCCATTTTCACTTATACTTTCTAGTTTCTTTCACTTTAAAAAAATCAATTTATTGAGGTGTAATATACATACACTACCATATAATACATCAATTTAAAATGTCTAATTTAATGACTTCAAGTAAATACATAAACCTGTGTAATGACCAGCCACAATAAAAGAATATCCTCTACTTCACTAAGTTTTTTCATACATTTTTGCAATTAGTAAGAGTCTCAAGACTCAGCAATCATTGATAATGCTGTTACTACAGGGTTTTGCCTTTATTACAATTTCATAAAGGGAGAATTCTATGGCTTCTTTTGCTCAGCATAACAATTCTGAGATTTACAGGGTTGTTGCATTCAGTATTAGAGATGAATATAACACAACTTATCC